TAACAGGTTTTACCATGTTATTACAACATTTAACCACTTTTTATTAATTTAAAAATTGAGAAATTCTTTCCAATTTAAATCTTGTACAAGAACTACAGCAAAAATCAGTTTGATGCATATTTTATCAATATTTTAGAAATTGAATTTTATTTATCACCAGTACTTGACTTCAGTGGATTTCATTCAATTCCTTTGAAAACAACTGCTCAAAACGGTCTAAATTTATGAAACCTACACATTCAAAACATTGGTTTTTTTCAGACACCAGCTGGAATTTTAATCTGGTGTTTTTCAAATCAGGTTGTTACCTAAGTTTCTAAAAAAAAAAATCTTGAAATTCAAGGCTTTTATGTAAAATTGACCTTAGTTATTTACAGACTTCCATGTACCAGCATAATTCATACTGTTGTTCATTAGATTGGCACAAGTTGCTGAAAATTGAATAAGTAGGCCTACTTTCTGAATGTTAGAACATGGCTGTGTCTCATTTCGGAGATCGCATTTTGTCGGCTGCATACATCATTGAGGTGGTCTCATTAAGAAAAGTAAAAGTTAGATTGCAAAGTAAGAAAGTAATGACAGTATTTTACACCTCACAAGGAATAAGAGTCAATTTTATTACTATAATTTTTCTTAAATGAGACCACCTCAATGATGTATGCAACTGACAAATGTGACCTCCGGAGGACGCAGCCTCCAAGATGAGACGCAGCTTGTTTGAAGTCTGTTCCAGAAAGTTACACAATTATACTTCCTGTTGAAATACCTCATTTTGGCCAAATTCTAAGGCAGCATCAACGGCAGTCCCAAAATGCATTTCAACATGCATTCAAATCTTGATTAATTTATTAAAGTCATATATTTCATTCAGTAAAAAAAATAAAGAATTGGTAAAAATAATGTAATATAAAATATATATACTACTGTTCAAAAGTTAGGAGTCTGTAAAAAATGTTTTAATGTTGTTGAAAGAAGTCTCATATGCTCACCAAGGCTGCATTTATTTGACCAAAAATATTACAAAAACAGTAATAGTGTGAAATATTATTTTAAAATAACTGTTTTGTATTTGAGTATATTTTAAAAAGTAATTTATTCCTGTGATGCAAAGCTGAATTTTCAGCAGCATTTACTCCAGTCTTCTGTCACATGATCCTTCAGAAATCATTCTAACATGCTGATTTGCTGCTAAGGAAGCATTTATTATGATTATCAATTTATCAGTAGAAAGTTCTAAAGAACAGCAATTTTCTGAAATGGAAATCTAACATTATCTCACTTTTGATTTAATGTATCCTTGTTACTTAAAATTATTAATAAATCCAAAAAAGCAAGGCCAGAAAAATCCATAAAATAACTCCTCTGCCACTTGCAAGAATAGCACTCTGATACTTTTGTCTTACTCAGCAACTTTATCTCTCGGCAGAGGGCCAGTACTTCAGCGAGGAGCAGATGCGTGTGCGAGATCCACTGCTGTACGAGCAGTACATCGGACAGTACCTCAGCGAAGAGGAGATCCTGCAGCGCTCAGAGGAGGCCATGAGGAGCGGCCCGGGGGGACTCGCTGACCTGCTTATCAACTCCTACCAGGAGAAACTGATCCAGAACCGCCTGGAGGAGGAGCAGGAGAGAGAGCAGTGTGCAGCGGAGGAGTCTGAGGAGGAAGGTCTGAGATCTCACTGACTGACTCATGACTGAGATTCCATTTAGTTTCTTTAATGGGTGAATGTGTTTTAGAATGTGACGAGCCCAGACAGGCAGAGTGGGAGCCGAATGCAGAAGAGAAAACCATGCTGAGAGAGGAGTTCCTGAGTCAAATGCATCAGCGCTTCCTGGATGGCAAGGATGACTTCAACTACAGGTCAGATCATAGTACTTGCTCACATCGGTCTCAAATTTGGAGTATAAAAAATAAATATTGCATTACCAGGATGTATTTCTCTTCAAATCAGTTGTTAATAATGCTATTTATTGTGAACTGTAGAGTGTTAATTGCCCATATTTTAGGTCTTACATAACCATATATCTTAATATTAAAATAATATCTTAATTACAATAACAATAACATTGATATTTTAATTACAGTGAGGTGGATGAGAATCCAGATTATGATAACCTGGATATTGTAAGCCGTGATGCCGAGGAGCGCTACTTTGATGAAGAGGATGAGGAGGAAGAAGAGGATATGATGCAGTAGCCCTTAATGTATATAATGTTCTCACAACAGAAAAAAGAATTTTAATTTGTTGTACATTCTTTGTCATGTTTCTACTGCTTGATATTTGTTTGTGTAGGTTAAATGTGATTATCAGCACCTCGCCGTCTTTAATAAAAGAGTACTATTTTTCAAGATGTTGTTGTGGTCATGTTTAAAGACTTAAAAAAAAAAATCAAGACTCAGTTGCAGGTCAGAACTTAGAAGTCTTAAGCATTTTCACTTTAAAGGGCTTTTGCTGTTAAACATATTTAAAATTCATGCTGTATGTAGGACTCATATTTTCTCGTAATGGTTAATAAAACAAAAGGGCCGCTGACATGACAGCAGCGTTCCAGACTTCCTTTTAAAGCTTTTTTACATTACGTTCTTCTGAATGTATACGCATGCATTCTTTATTGATCCTAATCATCTATATTAATTGAAAGACTATTTGTACCATTAACAATTCATTTTATATACTGCAACAGTTTACACAAACTTGTGATTGACAAAATCTTTGTTCATGTTATTTGTCATCTACCCAAATTCACTTAACGCAAGTGCATGAATTGCTAAATAAGTTGAGATTTAACAGATTTTTACAGTGTAGTTTAAGAGAATTATTTAATGTTTGTTACATGTGCAAGCATGATACCAAGAAAATTAGCATTTAAAATGAAATGCCCGACACTGTAAAACCTTTCAGACAGCAACTGACCTTAAGTATAATCAACTTGACTTTATAAGTCATTTCAACTCATTTTTTAAAATCTGTTCTAGTTAAATCTTGTATAAGGAAATTAAAAATTGGTTTACGTCGATGCATTAAAGCAATGAAAAAATATATATGGCCATCTTTTAATTACTTGGCACTGTACAGAGTGCTTGTGCAAGGTTCAGTCACTAGTTCTGTAGAATGGGAAATTCAGCATTGGGTTCTCCTGAATAAAAGACTGCAAAAAAAAGTCTTCTAAAGGCTCAAAAATAAAGAAATTGATGATAAAATTATTTGCAGTGCGTATAAATCTTTGAAAATCTTTATTTTTCTTTGTGCACTTCAAACACGTTTCATCGCGATACGATACCACAAATGTGGCTCTCTTTTCTGCCGTCTTTTTTTGCGGGTCTAAAACTTTTGTTTGCGAGCTGAAAAGTTTTGCTTGCGATTTAAAGGGGTCATATGATACGATTTCAAGTTTTCCTTTCTCTTTTGGAGTGTTACAAGCTGATTGTACATAGATAAGATCCCTGAAGTTGCAAAGACTAAAGTCTCAAAACCAAAGAGATATTCTTTATCAAAGTTAAGACTCTGCCACGCCGTAAGATAACTAACTTAACATCTTAAACTCTGTGACAAGTGAATTTAATTATCTCCTCATGCTCTCCCATCTAAACACGTAACGTTAGCTAAGCCCGTTGTAGATTTGATTAGCCAACAGTATAGCTAGCTGCCAGAGCCCCCAATAGTAAAGCGTCAGGCCAATATTTTCAGAGATTATAGTTTATTATAGCTCCAGTGAAGTAAGGTGAGTAACGCACATCAGATCACTAGCCTATTTGGCGGGTTATGATTCATAAATTATGACCGTATGCACACTCAAGTCTATTCGTAGCACCCAACAGCTGTAGTTTGCCATTCAAAGTTTTCTAAAATACAACGATTTGGGACCGATGTCTGTACATTCTGACTTCACCCTAGTCTACAAGACTGTGTATTGTGCATTTTAATAACAGGTTTGTTTTGTACCATCTTTAAGACCTGTGCAGTGACAATTGCAAAACGTATTACTTCAATAGTATTACTTCAATAGTAACGATTGATATTCAGGACTTGTCAGCCAACTGTAGTCTGATAAAAAGAGAGGGAGAGAGAGAGAGAGGAGGCAACATCTTCAAGGCAAAACCTTAGACATGATGCAACATCATTCAATGTCGCATTCACCCTCAGGAGGTACACAAGCAAAAGCTAAATTGCACATTGTCAATTATCAATTCCTATTTTACAAAATATGCCCTGGCCTGCATACATTTTTGTCTTTAATGTGTAGGCACTTGAAGCCCAGTGTCCAATATGCACAGGAACATTTCCAGTGTCAGAAGTAGAACTGCCATGCCAGCTTTTGTGGAGAAAGGTAATGGTAACAGTGACTCACATTGAAGCTTAAAAAACACCTAAAAGATGCTCTGATTTGGATCATATCTAATGGTAACCTACCTGACTATGTTCATTACATTGGTTCAAAACAGTACATTGCAAAGGTCATAAAAATATCATATGAAATATACATACACACACACACAAAGTTGTTTGGAAACATTACGTTTTTTTTAAATGTTTTTTGAAAGAAGTCTCTTCTGCTTACCAATGCTGTATTTATTTGATCAAATATACAGTAAAAACAGTATTACTGAGAAATATTTTTACACGATACATTATGAATATCTGTTAAAATGTAATTAATTGCTGTGATCAAAGCTGAATCTATCGGAGCGTTTTAGACCCGCAAAAAAAGACAGCAGAAAAGAGAGCCACATTTGTGGTATCACGATGAAACGTGTTTGAAGTGCACAAAGAAAAATAAAGATTTTCAAAGATTTATACGCACTGCAAATAATTTTGTTAGCAATTTCTTTATTTTTGAGCCTTTAGAAGACTTTTTTTTTTGCACTTTTATTTTTTAATTACAAAATAATTAGTTTTACAATAATAAAGACACAAAAATGATTCCATAGAAATGTGGCATTTGATTTTACTAATTTGAGTACAGACCACACTGAAGATTCAATAACATGTGGAGTAAATACTTTATTAACATTTAAGATTTCATTAGCATTGCTATATCTCAAAATAAAATTCTACATAAGAAAAATACAAATTAAATACATGTTCACAGGATAGGTGCTGGATAGAAATTAAATGTTATGTAATGTAAAGCAAATATACAAACAAAAGTTAAATGACTACAATTAGTGAGGTCCTTTTGACATGTAACGAACAAAACAAAGCAAAAAAAAACAGAATATGCATGGAGAAAATGTGACAATGCGTCAGTACCAAGCAAAATATTTATGTGCAGTTTTCTTTGTAATTACAATGTAAATAGAACCTTTCACTTTAAAAGCCATACTTTACTTCTAAAAGCAAACTGACTAACATTTGCATTATTTGACCCAAGGAGCCAGTTGTGTCTTATTCAAATATATCTGTGCAACACTCGTCCTATTCCCTCATTCTTTCCCTCGATTAGCTACACTAACGCCTATAGAACGGTAATTTCTTGTAATACTACACAACTGTCAATAATTGCCTCACAAAATGCAGTGCTAGAAATGCCTAGTTCCCTAAATGCCAGTGATATATCTATAAAATACAAAATACCAACCCTTATAAGCCATATAAAATTATTCTAAAGAATACTGTGTAAATAGAAAAAAGTCATTAGCTCCTTCATACCGTGTTAATACTGTGGCAAAAAACAAACTGGTTAGAATTACTGCGGCGATGTTCTTTCAAATTACACACTTCACAGTTAACTGCCAGAATTACTTACAATGGCAAGTGGTTAAGGGACATTATTTAAAAATAATAATAATAATAAAGACGACTGAATGAAAGGAAGTATCTGAATCAAACCCACAGGGTCCATAACTTTAACTTTTCAATAGACTCCTGATTTGTGGTCAGAAACCATCACAGTAACATAGATATGGTTGAAAAGTCTGTCAGGAGGAAAAAAGCAAACACTTCATACAGAGAACATATACCTTCATAAATGAGCAGGGCACTTAATTTTTTCCCCCTTATTTATGCTTGAATAGTTATTTTCTGTGGTGCAGATGGTCACTAAAGAGGCAAATTATAAACCAGACATCTAAATATAAGAATTTTGATTTGATTTAGCATAAACTAAATGGCACACAGTGAAAGGAGAGATGACGTGACAGAAGAGGAATGTTAAAAGACAAACTAAGAAGAAAAATGTCATGGGCTCAGTGCAAGTAGCCCCCCACCTGCATACAGACATTGTGCAACATCTCGGCTGTTTTATTGCCCGATCCCTTTAAAAGTCACCTCTCAAATGTACCATTTTATGGCCCCTGAAAGGAACCAATGGTTGTCAGAAAAAAAAGAAAAAAGGAAACTGGAGGAAAGGTGAAGAAAAAGAGGATAACAGAATGAATCATTCAGTCTTTTGGCACAGGGAAAAAAGTGCAACATTCCCATTGTAAAAACTTCATGAACAATGTTTGGTGCAACTTCCGGAGTCACAAACCGCTCTGTCAAGACCCAATCAGAAGTAACGAGTTCAGCTGATGAGTCTTCACCCATAACTGCTCCTGAAAAACAACATCACCTTTAAGACTTAAATACTGGGGCAGTTACATGTAAATCACAGGCACTCATCCAAACACAGCGTTTGATTTTAGAATCAAACCATTCTGCACTGCCAAACATGTCCACAATGAGGCAAAGCGCAAATAAACAATGTAAAATGTCCAAGGCTAAGTAGCAGTTCCGATAATAATGCCTTGGGCTTAACGAAGGAGGATGAGAGGCAGATGCCCTACTGAGCGTCAGCTTGAAAGATATGGACTGCAGAAATCACAAGAGTGCATTCCGTCAAGCTCTGCATATATATTTAGTTTAAGCCTTCTCCTTGTCCAGCAAGTAAAGCATAAATTGACTGCAGTCATTAGCAAACTAGAAACTACTGTGGCATCTAGAAAGGCACAAAGCAGAAGGTGGGGGAAGAATTCTCTCAACAAACAGATCTCTGGCAATAAAATACACAAGATGCCTGGAAGCACCACGGTTTTGTCTCTTTGCCTACCTTAACCATCGTTTACTTAGCCATTTTTAATTATTTGAAACTCTAGCTTTACAAGCTACGTAAGCCAAGTAGTTAAACCACAGTGATGCTACCCTTTTAAGAAAGTAGGTACAAGATACTAACAGATAGCAGCTAATTAAAAAAAAGAAAAAATACATATGCACATACACAACTATCAGGGATAATTTCAGACTTTATCGGACTCAAAAACAATACATGAATACATTCAATACAGCTAAAAAATAAAAAAAAAACACTAATCCAACGGACTTGAAAACAGAATAATGCTGAATAGAACAATTTAACCAAATCATGTACTAAACCATGTAAATTAAGCAACATAAGTGAATCTGTAATTAATACATTTAAAAAAATAATAAAATTAATAAAAAATAAGCGGATTCGTTTGAGACTATGCTTATAAAAACTACATCTAAACTTACTTGACTACAATGAATCAGACTTCCCAAGAAGATTTTTAACCAAAAACAACTGATTCATAAAGTTCATACAAGACAAGGAAAATTGTAGCCTCTGTTCGCTCTGCAAAAATAAAAAAAAAATAAAAAATGCTACTCTACTAAAAACGTTCTTTAAAGATTTCTTTCCTTGTGTATCTATATGCTTTTGTGTGAATACATGTGTTATGTGCGTTTCTCTAACATGTTATCTTAGTAGTTTACGGTAAAGTTATGTTTACTGTATAACTGTCAGATTTTCTCTCTCTTCGCAATGTCATTCTTCTGATTTTGGGAGGTTTTATTGTCTTGTAACCGTTCTTGATATTGTAAGATATGTTGTTTATTATTCATTTTAAAAACTATTTACACTAAACTGCTACTTGCTACTTGTTTGAAAACAACTAAACTATTGTCACACTACTGATAAATGTAGTGTGGTACCACAAGTACTTTTTGTTCCTCCTCAACACTAAATACACTAAAAATACAAAGTGCACATTCCAAATAATTTTTGCAAACAAATGTCTAGCACGGATCTGCACATTTCCTCAGTCAGGCATACCTCCTTTCTGCATCCAGTAACAAATCCCCTGTCTACTCTTCACAGACCACAGTGTTCACAGCCGCTCCACGAGTCTGCTTATGCTGTAAATGTTCCTCACCTCCAGCTGTCTGCCAGCTCGCCTCAGTTGATGAGAATTCCAGGAGGCCTCCCATCTTCTTCAGTGATGTTCCTGAAGTTATTCTCAGCTTCATCCACAGTCCTAAAGAAGCAAAACATTGAGGGGATCCCAAAATAAACTCAACTGTAATAGACCAGAATAGATCAGTAAAGAGCGCGCACATTAAGAAGTCTTTGACGTCCTCAACGGTGAGCTCTCCAGTGGTGTCCAGTGTGATGTCAGCACTGCTGTTTGGAGAATCCAGGACGGGCGAGGACAAGGCGCTCCGCATTTCATCCAAGAGCCCTGAGAGAATGACCAACATAGTTTTTTAGCCTAAGCAATGAACTCATTACATTACATGAAATACAACTTGTTCTGAGGTTTGACAGTGTGATTTGTATTGTCACAAAAGGGGTGAGATCATAGTTTTAGAAAAATTAACTGCTGTATGAGACATTAAACATCAAGTACATAAATTAGACTTCAGTCATAAAAATTCTAATTTCCAGTAAATCAAAACCGTACAAACGCTGGTAATTTCAGCTAGTTGGGTGAAGAATGACATTTATTTTCCATCTGTCAAGACTTGAGTGCAGAACTGTTACCTTCAGTTTCAACAGACTTGCTCTCTGCTTGTGTCTTGTGTGTTCCATTAGCCTGTGGTGGGAGCGGCGTGCTGGAACCACTAAAAAAAGATTGAAATGTGCTGAAAATGCAGAACTATTATTCTCCCCAAATGTCTGGAACATGATTAATTTCTTCAACATGATCATCCACCAAACTTACCCATCTGTACACTTCCATTTAAAAGTTTTGCTTTTTTAAAGTCTCTTCTGCTTACCAAGGCTGCATTTATTTGATCAACAATACAGTAATAACAGTCATATTGTGTAATAATTTTATAATTTCAAATTTTTTATTTATTTATTTTTTTTATGATTTTAAAATTTTAAAATGTAATTCATTCCTGTGATGAAAAGCTGAATTTTCAGCATCATTACTCCAGTCTTCAGTGCCTGGATATCATCATGTTGAAAACTGCTTAATATTTTCATGGAAATCATACTTTTTTTCCAAAAATCTTTGATGAATATAAAATTCATATATATCTTCCAATAATAACATACACACTATCTCTCTATATATGCACACACTGTATAAAGACATTGCTAGATGTAAACATGTTACAGTGACAGACACTGTAAACAGGCTGTGGGGTCACAATTATTAATAAGGGACTACTGATATAAACTTCTTGTATTTTATATGTACAGTAAGCAGATTAATTGCAACAAAGTGAAAACAGTGATAAAGTTGGAAAGCATGAAGTTTGCGAATGCCAGTCTATCAGTCAAGTCCAAAGCAAGATGCAACCCACAGCAACACGTTATGACAACATCTCAGATAGTCTGATGGCAGATAAAAGTAAATATTAAATAAATGTAGAGTAATTCCTTACACAAAGTGCACATCAAATATGCTAAACACGGAATCTGTGTGATGCATTCTACTACCAACGATCACTTTTACTTTAACAAAATTTTTCAAATCAGAGTAAAAAGCAAATAAACTTCATCCAAACACACATTTCCTATCATCAAAAACCAAAGTAGCGAAAAAAACAATTAAATGAGAAATAAAGTCCAGGTTACAATATACATTTCACCCGTAGGATGATGTTTTATGAAATTGCTTGAGTAGCTCCACCAACAGTGAAATCTCACTGATCCAAAATCCCGCTCAACATAATTGCACATTGACTGATGTTGCCCAGGAATTTCACATTCAGACTTGACAGGCAATTATCTTTAAACTCTGCACTGCACCTGGCTAGAACACTGTTAAACTGATTCGAGAAATCTCTCTCATTTACCTGTGAGCAGAGAGATCGTGAGGTCGTTCCACATCCACTCGGCACAGTGGCTCGGTGATCACACGAGCTGACAGCGAGAAGCGCTCGTACTCCGAGGGCGAAATCAGGTAGAATCCTAATAATATTGAAGGCAACATAGTTGAATCTCATTCATGTGGAAAAGCTCAAAGCTAGAAATTATTTACATGCTGTTTGAGAAAGAACTACTAACCTTGTCCAGTCTTAGTGAACACGCAGGAAGCAATGCCACTGATGTCTTCTTTGCGGATGCAGTCGTAGCGTACTTGCGGTCTCAGTGCTGGCACACTGAACATGTGGATGTCACCCAGATTGGTAAGGCACACTAAAGCGTTCTCAGAGTACTCTTCAGAGCTAACGCTGGTGAAGTTCGACAGTGCCACCTTTCGTACTCGACAGCCTTCATGGGCCGTCAACTTGAACTTGGTCTTCGCGCTTACTTTAGGCAGCATGAAAACCTACAGAAAGCGAAAGAAAGGTTGTTCACTTCTAATCCATTTTTTTGATGATCCAATTTATTTAGATGTAAATATCCCAACCTTAAACTGCTCCTCAGAAGCAATAAGAACAGAGTGGCTGCCCTGCATGTCTGCGGCTTTGGCCAGATCTCTGGAGACTTCGTACGGCTCCGGCAGAGGGTTCCCTCGGCCATCCAGCACAGCGATGGACACCACTGGAGCTCTGTGCATGAGCTGGATCTCCTTCCCCAGCAGCGCCTCCACACTCTGCTCAGAGAACTTCTCCTGCGAGGGTACGTCCAGAGCGTATGCGTACACAGAGCCAGAGTTCGTGCCGGCCCACATTGTAGGTCCATGATGTGTTCCTGAGAAACATGGGAAAAATAATGCTGTCAACGAGGTGGCCTATATCCATAACAATAAACGTTGACATCCTGAAGTCTCATTTACAAAATACATGCATGATTTAATGCCAGTTTCATAGATCTGGTATTAATTTTACAAATCCTGATTTGTTACTGTCTTTTTTAAAAAGAAAAAAATGACATGAAAATACTGTTATATGCAGAGTTGTAATCACCATATAGAGGGGTACATTTTCATTACAGATTGTGAAACTTTTACATTTAGTTTAACATCTAGCAAGTGCAAAAAAGTTAACATTTCATAAGAATTACAGGACTATGTTTTATAATTCATCTTTCAGCCTCTACTATTGATGAGGACGATGAAAATGAATGAATTGAACTTGAGTACTAAAATGCAGTGTAACAAAAGACAAGAGCAAGCTGAACAGACTAAACATGAATGGGCATGTCATTAGTTATATTAAGAGTATTACCATTCAAAAGTTTGAGGTCAGTAATTTTAAGAAATTAACACTTTTATTCATAGGACACATTCAATTAACCAAAAAGACATTTAGAGGAAAGACATTTTTTACTTAATGGTGGTCTTTTGAACTTTCTATCCATTAAATAATACTAAAAACATATCCGTGCAGTTTTTTTACGAAAAATATGCAGCAACACAACTATTTAGTTCCAAATCAGCATATTAAAAATAGTTTCTGAAGGATCATGTGGCGTAACGGCTACTGAAAATGAATAAAATGAATAATATTTTAAAATCTATTAAAGTACAAAACTGTTATTTTAAATTATAACTGTAATAATCATATTATTACGGTTATTTTTGATCAAATAAATAATAATTGGTGAGCATAAGAGACTTTCAAAAACGATTTAAAAAAAATTATAAATTGTACCGACCCCAAACTATGGAGTAAAAAAGCATTGTTTTGAAATAAATATTTGACAAGAATGTGAATCTTGATCTTCTAGCAAACGTTTCCCAATCCTGCTCTATGTGTCCACCCTAAACTGAAGTTCTGGATCTGTTATCTAACATCTGATTCAACTTATCAGCTTGTCAGTAGCATTCTCCATGACCTGATTTGGTGGCCTAAGTATTTTGTGTGAGCACATTTTTTAGTTTTCCTTATTCAGTCAGCACAGCCGTTTCAGAAAATAGTGACCTAACCTTACCTATTATTATGTTCCAATAACAAACCACTCACACCCATAACTGCACAGTACAAATGTGAAGTTATTCCCCCCATTACTGTGAATCATTTAAATATATTGCACTAATAAAACAATACTACGTTGTTCAGAACTCCCTCATGGAAAATTTAGCTCTCCCCAAACACGATCTGATCACTATTGTGCAAGAGTCTGAGTCACGAGGTCATATATTGGAAGATGAGGGAAATGGTGCTGCCTTGTGCTTGTGCACACATTTCACACAGGACAGACAAAACTTAATTTAGAATTAGATTTCTAGATTAGATCAACAGCAAAATTGCTTTTGCTGATCTGATATCAGACTGATAATTAAAAATAAAAATCAAGTCAAACTAGGGCTGTAAATAGATTCAATAATTCAATAGGAATAATTCACAAATAATCTCTACTGAAAAATGTTCAGTAAACATCCCAATTGAATTTAAAAGGATGGATCTTATATGGTATTGAATTGTAATTTCAAATTCAAGTTACATAAAAACTATCAAAAAAAACACATTTAAGTATTCATACTGTCAGTCTGAACTACCAAACTATGCCATATTTGAAACCTTTTCCCCCACAATTCTCACCATCTCTAAGGAAAGTGTCAGCGAAGCAGAGGCAGCGCACCACTCCAGACAGCGAGTCGTCTGCAGAGCGGGGCTCAATCCGTCTCTGTACTGGTGTCACCTCAGCATCGTGCTCCGCCAACTGAGCGTTAGCCTCCTGCACCTGATGAAAACGAGATGAGCATCTTAAAGGAAACTAATAATCAACAGGTCAACAGACTCACAAACAATGGTCTCATTGCCTAGAATGACCAAAACCTGTAAGATTGTAATGCATGTACGTGAAATTTCCAGACACTCACTTTATTGGTGGGACTATAAACCACAGCACGTTTCTTTCCCGAGACTCTGCTCTTCCGGATTCTTCTGAAGGACTGGCGCAGGGATTTCTTCAGAGACTTCACTCGAGACAGCGGGCCCTCCATAGCCAGAGAGTCATTGGGGTGTAGAGTGCACCTATGGAAAAACGCAAAACCTTCCTTTATAGCAATGTACAGTCACACAAAAGTCCAATTTGTATTATTTGTTATTTTATTATTGATTTTATTATTTTATATAGTTATTACAATTAAAAATAGTTTTTCTAATAAAATTGATTACTATTCTATTATTAATTAGCACTTATTAAATAACTGAATTCACTTAATATAACAGTTAATATAATAATTTAAATTAATAAAAGTATTCATACTATTATTATTATTAATACTACTTTATTTTTTAAATAAAATGTATTATAATTAACATTATTATTATTATTGTTGCAAATAATATTAATAAGGGTTTTCATTAGGTTGGTTATTATAAGCACATTCTAGAGGTAGATGCAGAGTATGCAAGAATATTTTGTAATAACAATTAAGTGGATTCACATGCAATACATTTCAACTTTCTTGTTTAATTTCATTTTGTTTGTGTCCTGAAACATTTGTCAAATTAATTTGGAAATGCAGCTTCGGAGAGACACGCTCATTGAGATAATTATGTGTTTATTAACTTTGTCATTATTAGTCGTTCATTTAAAAACCCTGCCTGCTTTGAAGATGGGTTTGCACATGACGAATTTCACATATATTTTAATTATTAAATAGTAAATGTATTTAATAAAAAAAATCGAGCCAACCCCAATTCAGATAACTTAAATATCTTCATAGCAAATGAGATCAATCTCTTTCAATTGGATCCACTGATTAAAAGTGCTCCTGAAGAAGCATAACACAGCAGCTTTGGATGGCCCCGCGAGTTACCTCGCCAGAACTGGACTTCGCCGATGATAGTCAAAGAGGCCAAAGCCATGACTGGTGCCAAAGGCAATGAGGTTCCACTCTGCGTGCAGGGTTACCGCAGTAACGGCCGCGGGGGGCATGCACTGCACCAGGACAACCGGCTGGAATCCAGGAGCAAACACTACTGAGCCGCTCTTAGGAGGCAGCCGGTCATGACCCTTCCACGTAAAACCCTCTCGGTCCTGGAGCAGGTCCACCGTGGCCACATCAATCATGTGATCGGACTTCTCATCACTAAGAACCATAACTATAACCTGTGAACAGAGTATAGGATATAATATTACTAACATTTATTTTTGTGAAGACAATTGCCATTTGAAAACTTAGTGAGCTGCCCACCTAGACAACATTATTAGGCCATATTTGAATGGCACTAGCTTTCCCCAAGGTGATGGGATAAATCCATGTCATTATTCATGTTTCAATATTGTTAGAATGCTGCCTACGTAGACAGCACACAGCAAAGCCACTTAACTAGGCTTTTTAAAACAAAGCTACTGAGCTAAAAATATATTTGCATTGATCATTAAAAACTAGTGATCCTACTTGTCCAGCAGTTCCAGCCACCACAAGTTTTCCGCTGTATTTACAGACGCTGATCTTCTGGATTCCTAGTCTGGGATCATCACTGTATGGATCAAAACAGCCCACCTGGAAATAAATGAAAAGCAAACATGGATTGTTATTCTTCTTCATTGATTCTTAAGGCTGCACAAATAGAGTTGCAATATCCCTTTGAGGAACATATAGTACAAAAACAAACCTGAGCCAATAAAGTCTATTCTAACTGTAACAAAGACAAACAAAATATCTTCCACATGCCAAAGAAAAAATCTAATCCCATCTATACAGCTTTAAAGAAAAAGCATCAGCGATATAGCACGACACACATTATGAACAATATAATGCAACCGTTAACGATATAAGGCTACATTTCATTCCCCTCTAGAAACATTGACCCTCAACAACGTCTGATCCCAGCCAAACAGCAGCGGACAAAGACTAGAACAAAGAAAAGAGGAATGTGCATGTTATGAGGAGAAAAAAATAGTAAAACAAAAGCAATGCAGCAGTGCCATCCAGAGCAGCAATGTGCTTCATTTTCAGCAGACGTTAGCAAAGCACTTCAGTCATCAGACAGACAGTCTGCTTTTAATTAAGGTGCAAAGGAATCGACTCCAGTGTGAATCCCATATGCTAAAGTGGGCCACGCGCCAGACTGCAGTTGGCATTTTATGAAGAAGCTGATGAAGAGGAAAAGGTGGATTAGGAAAACAAAAAAGAGAAGGGAGAGGTGAAGAAACTTGCTAAAGCTGCCCTTGTTGTGAAAGAAAGCAGTGAGTAAAGTTAAATAAAATAACACTGTCCCGGTGTTCAGATGATGTGATTTAAGATTTGTTTTAAAAGTGAAAAAAATCATCAGATATCCCATAAATCCCTGACCTTTCTAAAAGGAGGCCATTCCTCCTCCCCGGCCTGCGTCAGGCTGTCGTTGTGGTCGCAGTCTGTCTGAAAGATGTTGGCTGTGCTCAGTTTGTACAGCGGTTTGAGCGACACTCCTGACGCATCCCAGAAACGCACTGTACCATCCTCGTGACTAAACAAAAAAACAAATATAGGCACACATCATCCTGACAACTGATACAAATAAACACTAATGTTTTCATTAAAGCCTGTGGGAGCTTTATCAAAACACTGAAGAAAAATATAAGCAGCTGTTAAAATAACTTAATTTCTCTAAAATAAAATAAAATAAAATAAAATAAAATAAAATAATAAAAAATAAAATAAAATAAAATAAAATAAAATAAAATAAAATAAAATAAAATAAAATAAAATAAAATAAAATAAAATAAAATAAAATAAAATAAAATAAAATAAAATAAAATAAAATAAAATAAAATAAAATAAAATAAAATAAAATAAAATAAAATAAAATAATAAAATAAAATAAAATATCTCACCCAGTTAACAGCAGCTCTTTCTGCTTTGGATCAGGTGCTAAGTTTTTCCCTCCACATATTGGCCAATTCTGTTAAAACACAGAGGAAAAAAAGCTCACTCAGGACGGCCACAAAAAAAAACATCTGGCAAAATTTAAATTCTCTAATGAAATAACATTAAATAAGAACTTTGATGCTGGTTTGTGTTTTATTGGTGGTTGTTAAATAAAATCCATTTCAGAAAGCCTAAGCTATTAAATCTAAAAATACAGTATGAGCGTGCCGTATTAAATCAATTCATTTATAACAGTAACAAAAAAAACGAAGGTTGGTGTTTGTTTTATGATGTTAACATTATACACATAACAGATGTTATACTAAATGCAAATATTTAGTTGTCTGCTGAAGTGAAAGAAAAACGATACACATGTAAAAGCATGAAAGCCAACTATATGTCAGTTATGGAAATGTCAACACACAATTTTACACATTATCCAGAATTTGCAAGTTGATTTTAAATCCATTCTGCCAAATTTCCTGTTAAACCAACAGTGGACATGTGGAAAAAAAGGTGCTAGTTTTGGGTTTCTGTATGACAGTAGCGAACCGTGACTCTAGAACCTAGGCCCTCTCCCCCTACCCTCGTCAGGGAAAAGAACAAAAAAAACATTTTCTATGAGTGCACGCACACCGGCGGCGCCACCGGCGACTGTCCGCGGATCCCAGCTGCGACTCCGGGCGCTGTTCATAATCCTGCTGCGCCACTCACATCATTTTCCATTAAAATAAATTATATTTGTCCCAAATCATTGTTAATGTACATAATGACTTCATCCTAGGTTGGAAGATTGTGTATTGTGCATTTTTTCAGCAAAACGTTTGTCTTTCTGTGGCTCTAAATTTCGTGATTCATTTAGTGAGCTATAAGTTAGACCGCAATTTCTCATCCCGTTTGCCGTTATTTCGATCCCAGAACTTTAAACTCATTGACACCACTTGCTCATTCTTGAAGTTAAGTTTTGACTGTTTTGGGAATAGATTAAATGTTTTGGATTGCCGTCTTGAACTGACGTTGTGCGATACGTGTTGCACCGGGGAATTTTTCTGTCATTCGAAATTACTCTCCCATTGATTTACTATGGACCTTTTTCACATTTCCGGGTTTCTCAGCAGCGGAAGTCGTCATAGTTGGGTTAACTTGAATAGCAGTGAATGGAAGAGTACCACAAATATATTTTTTTGCATTCCCATTTGCTCAAATATCAAAAGAAAAACTCCACGATAGTGTTTTCATGAATTTCAATAAAAGGAAAAAAATTGAGAGAGACTGATAACGGCTGTCAGAAGAGAGAACGATGTCAAATTTACTGTCCTGCCCATAGACGCTACATTAGAAACACTCTCGCATTAGCGTTAACTGTTTTTTTGTAATTTGATGCAAAGGTGATATAATACAAAGAATAGTGTTATAAATGTAGATACATTTTTTTAAAAATACAAATATGAAATCTTTCGAGGATTTACGATGCTGATGACCGTTAAACGCGTCATCACAGTCTTGTGAAAAGGGTCCATTGCTTGGCCCTCTGTAATTTTCATAGCTGGACCTTCCGCAGACATTAGGCGGAAACATTCTAATATGGAGAAAATGGGCGGCGTTCATTTGCCCATTCACTGAAAGGCAGATTTGGAGAGTTTTTTTTTTTTTTACTCAGATAAATTGTATTTTATTTAGATGATGTTATTATGAATTGCTTAAATACAATTTGTAATAATTATTTTTTATTTAAAATACAATATTTTAAAACATTTAAAAATTGTAAATATTGTTTTTACAATAAGTTAGGCCCTCTCTGAGGGCCCTGACGGTTCCCCACTGCTGTATGAAGACTTTTCACCCACCTCATAGTTCTGCAGAGGACACTGCTGCTGGCCCGCACTGATCACTCTCTCCCACAGTTTGGGAGGCACATTTGAGATGTGACATGAACAGGTGATGGCAGAGGAGTGCAGAGGAGCCAGATAGGGAGCAGGGACAGTGGGCCAGCCAGCCATCTGAAGATCAATCACTACCAACTCCTCTTCCAAAAGAACCACAAGCGCTGATGGGTCATCAAATTCTGTGAGGCACAAAAATAACCATAAGTCCATGCACAGGAAATAAAAATAAACATTTAGCATACACATGCATCATCAGTGATTTATAGGACACTTATTACAGGAACAGCTCCACAGAAGCAACCGGGGTCCAAGTGCCCTGATCAAGGGTACAACTGTGGTAGTTTAGTGATTGCCCCATGTAAGAGTTTGAACCTATAACTAGAGCTGGGCATTATGACTGTATATACAGTATCTCACAGAAGTGAGTACACCCCTCACATTTTTGTAAATATTTTATTATATCTTTTCATGTGACAACACTGAAGAAATGACACGTTGCTACAATGTAAAGTAGTGAGTGGACAGCTTGTATAACAGTGTAAATTTGCTGTCCCCTCAAAATAACTCAACACACAGCCATTAATGTCTAAACCACTGGCCACAAAAGTGAGTACACCCCAAAGTGAAAATGTCCAAATTTTTTTTTTTTTCAGATCCTCAGAGAGTTCTTTGCTATGAGGTGCCATGTTGAACTTCCAGTGACCAGTATGAGAGAGTGAGAGCGATAACACCAAATTTAACACACCTGCTCCCCATTCACACCTGAGACCTTGTAACACTAATGAGTCACATGACACTGGGGAGAGAAAATGGCTAATTGGGCGCAATTTGGACATTTTCACTTAGGGGTGTACTCACTTTTGTGGCCAGCGGTTTAGACATTAATGGCTGTGTGTTGAGTTATTTTGAGGGTACAGCAAAATTACACTTATACAAGCTGTACACTCACTACTTTACATTGTAGCAAAGTGTCATTTCTTCAGTGTTGTCACATGAAAAGATATAATAAAATATTTACAAAAATGTGAGGGATGTACTCACTTCTGTGAGATACTGTATACCATGGTAGCAATGTCAAATTGAACAGATTCTGCTGGAATTATTTATATTACAGCATAATCATGGTACACAATTTGAAGTGTTTTTCACATTGATGGCTTATTTGTTCTAAAAAAAATATTATTCTGGTTTACATCCATCAAGTAAATAACCAAGCGGCAACCTTCCGGTCTCTCTCTTGAAACCAACACGAAAGTGACTTAAACTACCGTTCATCGACTGGCCGCTAGAGACTGGCTCCAAAAGGGAGTCAATCCCATAGACCCCCCCGTTAAAATGCCCAAATTTACAGCAGAAAAAATGTTTACAGCCTGGTACAAAAAGTGGTTTTGGTCTATATAGCTAATTTTGCCCTTCATGACAACTGTGAGGGGGGTGAATTGTTTTAGAACTCGTCCATTTAAATTATATTAAGCCTTAAAGTTCTGCAAAATTAAGGGCGTGGCCACTTGAGTGACAGGTGGATTGCCGCTGTTGTCACCACCGTCGAGCTAGGCGGGTTTTGCCCAATTTTGCCCTCTTTGCCCATTTTTGATTATCCAGGAGTGATGCGCGATGACGTGCTGCCAAGATGGCGACGGCCCGCTACGCCCACTTTAGGCTTCAAAAATGCTCTTCAGAAACCTACGGGTGATGTCACGGACACTACATCCATGTTTTTATACAGTCTATGTAAATAACCTATTAATATTATTAATAATAACCATAACAGTATTATTATTTATATGTTATTCAACAACAACAATAATCATCATCCTTTATTGAAAAAATACATTATTATTATTATTATTATTATACATTAAATAATAATAATAGTTGCCGTTATTATCACTTAGAGATGAAGTCCCTTTTGTGTCTACAGTTTAAAGTCACTAGGTAGATAAGGTTGTGTAATATATAAAACAGTTTGAAGTTGAACTTTCAGCTAAATTAATCATACTATGAAAGATACTATTACAGTGAAATAAAATTACTTAAGAGTTAGTTCAAACCACCCACCCCTACTTTTCAGTAGAGATAGACCGATATATCGATTTACCGATATTTTTCCCGATATGTAAGCATTTATCGGATATCGGTTTTGTAATATCGGATTCACCGATAAACGCCGCCATCTTGTGGGTGTTTTGAGAATTGCGCGCAGGATCGCCATTGCAGCGCGTCTGAGGGGACATGAGACAACAACAACGGCATGGTGCAGGTACTTGATTTGCTGTATTTAGTACACTTTATTTAACATAACAGCCATTTATGCACAAATTAGATGCATTACAAAAATGCCTGATATGTAGTTTATGCAGCTTGGCTCTAAGAAACAGAGACCAACTTACGGAGTCATGAAAAATAATCAGTCAAGTCCTGTCCCAATAAAGACGTAACTTTGCCTGAATTAAATATGCAGCCATGAATGAGCGCATGCTGGAAATAAAAGCGCTGCATTGAATTCTCTCTCTGTTGTCTATGCTCATCGTTAGTCTCGTGAAGTCGGAGTCACGTAGATAATCCGTCAAGATCCTCTCCCAATAAAGACGTAACTTTGCATTAATTAAATAATACAGCCACGAATGAGCGCATGTTGGAAATAAAAACGCTAAATTTACTTCGCTCTCTGTTGTATATTTGCTCATCATTAGTCTCGTGAAGCCGCAGCGGGTTGATGTGGTTGATGCTCAGGAAATGCTCCAGCAC